CCCCTCAGGCGCCAAGGAACCAATCTCTTTACCAGCAGCAGAGATGCTCCGTAACACCGGTCCATGCCTCCCTGACGGGGGAACACTGCCCACTGAGCTTCCATAGTGATGGGTAAAGGCCCTGGGAGCAAGGAGAAGGGATGAGCTGGGGCTTGGCTGCTGAGCTCAGTCCCTGCACAAGCATGGAGTCCAGGCCTGTTTGGAATGAGGAACTTCTGGCTTCCTGAGACCCAGGCCCAGACCTGGACACCCAGGTTAAGACTCAGACTCTCACCCCTCCCAGAGACTGAGGTCTCACCCCTTACCCTCCAGCCCCCCACAGCTGCCTGTCTGGAACTCAGGAATTCAGCCTGGTCCCTGCCAGACTCCACCCACCTCCCACAGATCCACCCACTGGCTGACCACCGTGACTTGTGCTGTAAATAATATAAGGCAACATCCTCTTAAGCCTGGTGCTCTCTCCAAGTCCTGACCCTTCCCAGGCTCCTCGGCTATGCCCAGGTATATTCTAAGGCAGTGGTTCTCAACCTTCCTAACGCCGCGACCCTTTAATACAGTTCCTCACATTGTGGTGACCCCCAACCATAAAATTATTTTCGTTGCCACTTCATAACTGTAATGTTGCTACTGTTATGAATCGTCATGTAAATATCTGATATGCAGGATGTATTTTCATTGTTACAAATTGAACATAATTAAAGCATGGTGATTAATCACAAAAACAATATGTAATTATATATGTGTTTTCCAATGGTCTTAGGCGACCCCTGTGAAAGGGTCGTTCGACCCCCAAAGGGGTCGTGACCCACAGGTTGGCGACCCACAGGTTGAGAATCACTGTTCTAAGGTATGAAACCAAGGCCTCACCTAGGGGGGCCAAGGGGACACCCGCCTTTAAGGGCCCAATTCCAGTGGATCATCCAGGGGATATTTTCATCTGCAGAGAGAAGAGAGAAGGAAGAAATAGCACCCCACCCATATTTCCCCACCAAGACACAGACCCATGTCTATCCCAAACCCCCTTATTTGCTCTTATACATCATGTACCACCCCTCTGTAGCAGCTATGATGCAATTTTATATTCTACCCTGTGACCGTTGGATTAACATTCATTTCCACCACAATCCCACCACAAGAGCAGGATCACATCTTTTTTTACACAATTATATACTTAGAACTTAGCACAATTATATACTTGGCACACAGCAGGCACTCAAAAAATATTTGTTGGCCCTAGCCGGTGGTTAGAGTGTCGGTCTGCACATCAGATGGTCGTGGGTTAGATTCCTGGTCAAAGGCACATACCTCGGGTTGCAGGTTCCCCAGCCCCAGTTGGGTGCGTGCAAGAGGCAACCAATCGATGTGTCTCTCTCATGTCAATGTTTCTCTTTCTCTCTCTCTCTCTCTCTCTCTCTCTCTCTCTCTCCCTACCTTCCCTCCCTTATACTCTCTATAGAAATCAATGGAAAAATACTATTGGTGAGGACTAAAATATATATATTTGTTGAATACAAAATGAAATCAGACAAGTGTTCCTGGACTTATTTAGCTACAGGAACCCTCACCTAGGCTGACTCCCCTATTTCAGGATGAGAAAAAGGAAGCTGAGAGAGATGAGGTGACTTGCCCAAGGCCAACAGCTAGTGAACCCCAGAGCTGGGACTAGCACCCCTGGCGTCTGAATCCCTGCCCTCTTGGAGGCACCATCTGGACTCAAAAGGAAGCAAGAGGCAGAAACAGAAACCCCTGCTGCCCACTTACCTGCTGGCTGGGGTGCTCTTGCCAGGCCAGGCCCCCAAAAGGTCCAGGGCAGATGGCGACTCCACCTCATGGTAGAAGAGACGGTCCGAGCCAGGGGTTGGCACACCACCTTCTATCCTGTTCTCCTGTAAAAAGAATGGTGTGAATGGACCGCGCTTGCCCTTCCCTCTCCCGCCTCCTTGTGCAGCCAAGGAAAGTCCTTCTCAGGAAAGCATGAGCCTTTCCTGAAATGTCAGCATTGCCACAGCCCTGGCCTGGCCTTCAGAACTCCTCCTCTTCCACATCCCCCACCTGAGTGATCCGTTGTATCTCCTACATCCTAGTGCCTCTCCCCTGGGGCTTCAGGAAGGTCTTTCTCCTGAGTTTTACCCTAGTGAATGGCCAATGTAGGGGTCCTTTTTTTGGCTTGACTGCCAGCAAGCTCAGATGAGTCCTGTGTTCATTTCCAGTGGTTTTTCTAAGCCAACCTTTTTCAGTAATAATTTTCTACTCTTCTCTGCATTCCTCCCCCCAGGTATCAGGTCCTTTTAGCTGAGTTTTCATAGTTTATGATTTTATCTTCTCTGTGACATTTATGTATGCTGCCTTTGAGGCTGGCCTAAATAATAAATAAATAAGGGGAACCAAGATGGCAGCATAGGTAAATGCTGGTACTCACCATCTCCCACAACCACATCAAAATTACAATTAGCCCTAGCCAGTTTGGCTCAATGGATATTGTCAACCTGCCAACTGAAGGGTCCCAAGTTCAATGCTGGTCAAGGGCTCATGCCTGGGGTGGGTTGTGGGCTCAGTCCCCAGTGGGGGATGTGCAGAAGGCAGATGATCAATGATTCTCTCTCATCATTGATGTTTTCTATCTCCCTCTCCCTTCCTCTCTGAAATAAATTTAAAAAAATTTTAAATTTACAACTAAAACACAGAACAACCATGATTCAGAACTGCCTGAAACCTGGCTGACTGGAAGTCCTACAATTAGAGAAGAAGGAAGTGCTTTGAGACTGATAGAAGGGGTGAAGGTACAGGATGAGCTGGTCTGGCACCCATGTATGGTGTTTTCTTAATCGGGAGGGATAGCTCCAAGGCATCCTGTGAGAAGCAGGGGGCCCCAGCCCCACACCATACCCCCAGCCCAGAGTTCCAGAGCTGAGAAGAGAAGTCCCCATAACTTCAGGCTGTAAAAACCAGCAGGGATTGTGGCTGAGTGACACGGAGGTTGCTGGAGTCCCAGGTGCTCCTATTAAAGGGCCCAAATATGAACTTACATGCTCTGCTTCCTCTGAGCTCCAGAGCCCGGCAGTGGCTTTAGGGGAATCCAGGGACATAAGGGGAGGAACTGGACTGTCTGGCAATGGGGCAGGAACTCAGAAGCAGCTTTCTCTAAGACAGGGGTGCTCACAGGGGTCACTGTTCCTATGCTGGGACCTCCCCAGTTGTAGAGCTGACTGGAAGCCATATTTGAGTCTCCATCAGCCGGGTGTACACTGTTTGCTCCATCCTAGTGACTCCCTGAGATGCCACCCCATCCAATTTTCAGCCCCACCCGTGCAGTTTGCAGTTGCTTTTCCATATGAATGGCCTGTCCTAGCTCAGGCTTCAGACTTTGCTAAAATCTCTTAAACAAGCAGCAACTGAAAGTAGCATGCCCCAAACCTATCAATAAAAGACCCAAGGCCCAGCACTGGCACCAGCCTGCCTTGCTTCATAGCTGGGCCTCACAAGCCCAATACAAGTAGCAGTCATCTGCAGATCTCTCTGCAGCTCCTACTGGGTAGCCCCAGGCAGTGGCTGACTTTGCACCTCCCAGGAGGTCCCAGAGCCAGTGTACCTGGTGGACAGCTTCAGACCATAGCAGATTACAACTCTACACATCCACAGTGACACACTCAATAGGCAGACTCAGTGAGCACCAAAGCCCAACTGAAGCAAGTCCTGCTCCACAGGGGTGTCTCCTGCACAGCAGCTCTTCCATTGTAGACTCAGTTGGTCCTCACAATCAATTGGTCTGGGGGTCAATTCCCCTCAGGGACACTTGCCAACAGCAATCAAGGCTCAACTAAAAGACTGTGAACACAGCTCACACAGGAACACACCTAGAGTGTCCAGCTCAGGTGACTGGGGAAGCTGAGCCACTGCGCCTACAGGACACCTACTACACAAGGCCACTCTACCAACTCCAGAAGACAACTTCAAGTGTACCAACATTTGCATTATGGGAGGGCCAGAAGGAGGAGAGAGCAAGATGTTGAAAACCTATTTGAAGAAATAATGACAGAAAACGTCCCCTACCTGGTGAAAGAAACAGACTTAAAGTTCAGAAAGCACAACGAATCCTAAACAAGAGGACCCAAAGAGGCCCACACCAAGACACATCATAATTAAAATGTCAAGGGCTAAAAACAAAGAGAGAATCTTAAAAGCAGCAAGAGAAAGACAGTCAGTTACCTACAAGAGAGTACCCATACGACTGTCAGCTGATTTCTCAACAGAAACTTTGCAGGCCAGAAGGGAATGGCAAGAAATATTCAAAGTGATGAATAGCAATGACCTACCACCACGATTACTCTACCCAGCAAAGTTATCATTTAGAATTGAAGGTCCAATAAAGACCTTCACAGACAAAAAAAAAAAGCTAAAAGAGTTCATCACCACCAAACCAATATTATATGAAACGTTGAAGGGTATTCTTTAAGAAAAAGAAAAGAAGAAAAATATGAACAATAAAATGGTAATGAATACATATCTACCAATAACTGAATCAAAAAATAAAAATAAATGAACAAGAAATCTAATGAACAAAATAAACAGATGAATAAAATAGAATCAAGAGGCATGGAACAGATCGATTAATCTCAAAGAGAAGGGGGATGGGCGGGGATGGGAAGAGATTAACCAAAGGTCTTATATGCATATATGCATTACCTGTGGACACAGGCAATAGGATGGTGAAGGACTGGGATGGGGCAAGAACAGAGTAGAGGGGGGCATTGGGGAGGTAAAAGGGGGGACATCTGTAATACTCTCAACAATAAAGACTTAAACAAATAAAAAATAAGTTAATGAGCCCTAACCAGTTTGGCTCAGTGGATAGAGCTCGGCCTGCGGACTGAAAGGTCCCAATTCAATTCCGGTCAAGGGCATGTACCTTGGTTTCGGGCACATCCCCAGTAGGAGGTGTGCAGGAGGCAGCTGATCGATGTTTCTCTCTCATCGATGTTTCTAACTCTCTATCCTTCTCCCTTCCTCTCTGTAAAAAATCAATCAAATATATTAAAAAAAATAAGTTAATGAACTTCCTAGTTGACATCTCCAAGTATCCTGCCAATACTTGAAACTTCACACATGGACAACGAAACTCCTCATTCCCCTCCCCTTTCAGTGACTTCACTGCAAACCTTCCCATTCACGATTTACACTAGAAATCTGACTTCTTTGTCTGCAAATCCCCTCTCCCTCCTTTACAGTGGAAACAGGCTTTGCCAGCCTGTTCTGATTGCATTATCCTTACTGTCCCTGTGCGAATGCAGACCTTCTGCGGACTTCCGGGGACCCCTCCCCCTTACTGGCCTCTCTTCCGTCTCATATCATTCCAACCCCTCATCCCAGACACCAATCAGCTCCCTGAAACCCTAGGTTATAAATAGAGCACGAACACTGGCCCACACCAACTGTTTTTGAGTTTGCCCCAACCCGCACCTCACTTGCCAGGTTCATTGAATTTTTGCTGGCACCTTCCTGTGTTCATACACTTTCTCCAGATCGGAATGACCTCTTTCCCCCGTCAGCATCCTCCCCAATCTTTTAAGATCCTGCCCACAGGTCCTGTCTCCCGGAAAGTCCCTCCTGGTTCCTCTAGGCCCCCTGACGCGGAGCCAGCTGCTCTTTGGCATCTGATTTCCAGAGACATGGCTCCTCACGGGCAGGGCACACTTAGGGGCACTGGCTGCGCCAGGCCCACCGCCAGTGGGGCCAACCAGTGGTGACCCGGGCGGTGGAGCGGGGCTGAGGGAGGCCCTGGAAAGCCGAGGAAAGCTGGGAAACTAGCTCGGGGTGATCCAATCAGACCCAGGGCCACGACTCAAGCGGGGACTCGCAGAAGCGGGGAAGGGCAATGCTCCCAAGATCACCCCGGGTCGGGGCAGCGAGAAAAAGAGGGGACTCGGCAGGGAAAGTGCAAGGGCTGAGCTCCCCAGACCAGCGCTCCTCCCCCACAGAACCGGCCCGGAAGCCCACCCACCGCTCGGCGGCACTAGGATTCATCAGTGGTGAATCCAGGGAGTAAACTATGAATCCAGAAGGTGTGGTAGGAAGTAAAGGAGAGTACCTGGGGGGCCAAATTGAAGACAGCGGCCCTTCCCATGCAATTCCCTTCAAAGACTCCGGTTCTTCCCCCCGGGCGGCCCGGCTGCTAGGACTGCCTCGGCAGGCTTCGAGCTCCAGGCCACCCAGGGGCCTCACCGACCACCTCCGGGCAGGACTGGTTGTTTTGCCCATTTTACAGCTGGAGGAGCCGCGGCATGGAAGGGTGCAAGGACTCGCGCAGGTGAGCCCGATTGGGAAGCGAGAGTCAGAACCAGAATCGGGTCGAGCCTCCCTGGTCGCCCCGCCGTGCCGAGGCGGTCCTCCCTCTCGCCTCTTCTCCAAGTCCGCAGCCTACCTCCCGGCAGAGGCCCCGTCAAGCGCTCCTCGGCTCCTTCCTCCGCACCTGGCGCAGCAGACCAGACCGCTGCGCGGCTTCCGGTCACTTCGGTCAAGGAAGAAGGACGAAAGGGGCCAGAGCAGCCGCATCCACCCCAACCTGCGCGTCTTGTGTGGCACCCAGTCACGGCCTAGCCCTGGAGCTTCCTGGTCCCCAGAGCCCCACCCGCTTCCATGCAGGACACACCCCGGGCCCGTCGTGATGGAGGAGCCACCCACCACCACAGCAGGGCATGCCTCCACATGCAGGCACGCGTGGCCAGTGTGCACGAACAGGCGTGCCCTGGGGAACGCATGGGCTCCTGGGGCAGGGCTGTGTGATCCCCACCCTTCAGATAGCCCAGTGGTTCCCAGCGTGGGGCACACGCCCCACAGGGGGACAATTTGATAGTTAAGGGGACAATTCGAAAATGAGTTATTAACAATGAATTTTTTCATTTCTTATGGTTCTAGGGGCCTCATATACAGTATATAAATATATATTTTGACATATTTATGCATTTCAGTTCTCTATTGTTTTGAAACTTCATTTTCTATTTTTTCATATCACTTCATATTTTTTTTCAATAATTTCTTAGTAATTTCTTCCTCAGTACTTCAACTGTCCTTTCGTTCTTTTATTTTTCTCCTTCATGGATGCCCTGTTCTTTGGGAGCTTGTTTAGACCAAGTCAATGGCCTTTTAGGCTCCTGCACATGAATAGTTCACTTTTTGAATAATGAGAATTGTACGTCATGGGGGCATCAGGATTTTAGAGACGCTTAGGTGGGGCATGGCCAGAAGAAGGTTGGGAACCACTGGTCTAGACCGAAGGCCGTGCTGATGAACACATGGTATTGGGGTGGTGCTGAACAAGGGGTGCAGGGACCATATAGACTCCAGCAGCTCCCCTCCAGGGGCCCAGATGATGGTCCTTCAGAGGAGACAGAGGCTA